TGGTCAATGGTGGATTTGCCAGGCCTGAGCCCGCATTGGTATGGTCCAATAATGTCATTGGCCATTTCATTGGCTTCAGTCGTTCACACACCACGCTAGATAGCACTTTATATGCGATGGGAAGCAGACTCATTCCCCTATAGTTGGCACATATCGTCTTGTCTCCTTTTTGTGCACGGGACACAGTATTCCTAATCTATGACTCAATATGACGGATCTATACATTTTTTAATTGAATTTTTGTTGATTTTTGTTATGTTTTTAATCAACCTATTATACTGTGGCCTGCATTAAGTAGAGCGAGTGAGAATGGTAGCAGGCCATACCAATATGGATATACGATTTTTACTACGCTACATTATTAAAATTTAAAAATATGCCTGTGTATGCCACAAAATTAGGTAACATTACATGCGATCTATTTATAAATGCATCACTTAAAATGCATTTTTCCACAATATATTTTTTTAGGGTTTCTAAGAGGTGAAGGAACCGCAAACACACACCCCATTCTGCAATCACAATCTCACACAGAAAAAAGAGGAAAAAGTACAATTCATAAATTTATAATTTAGTTAAATCCCAGCAAAACAGCGCCAAATCGAATGATGCAGATTTGAATAAGAACCAAACGAAACACAACGACAACACCAACAACAACAAAAATACATGACAGTTCACATTTACGCTGGCTGGTACACTGTGGCGTATAATGGCACTTCTCTTTATTGGATCAATTTAAATTCCGTTTGAGTCCGACATCAAACATAGAATACTCACACTGTCACAAACACACACACGGACAGCCCCACACAGCCACTAACGAACAATAATACATATAGCTGTACGAAACGTGTGAGAAATACGCAAATGATGAATCGCATGAAGTCGCACAAAATTCACAACCATTCACAGACTGCAAAAACGTTTATTTATCTCCGTTTTACAGTTCTCCCAGCCTCAGCTCCGGCCCCGATCCCACCATCCTCATTATCCGGAGGCAGTAATAAGCCATCTATCTATCCACCCACCCACTCCCTCCCTCAGCATAGTAAACAAAGCACGTTTTGTAGTCATCTGTTGGAGGTTTTTCTTTGCTGATGTTGCTGCTGCTGCTTCTTATTCGTCTTTGATGATGATACGGCTCATTCATTCACTCATTCATCCATTGTGTACTTTGCACAGTGAAAAACAAAATTGGGGGGCCAAACAATGAACAAACACAAAAAAAAAAATTATAATAATGGATAAAAGTTTAAGTAGCAATTTAAAGGTGAAGAGAGATAAATAACAATGGATACGCATATATGTTTGTCTGTACTTGTGGGTGTGGTATGAAGGCAATAATTACTTGGAGGCTAGAAATGGTGGAGTGAGGGCTTAGATAATGCAATGTATGTTTATAATATCGAAATTAACCTGCCTTTCTCTGTAGTGTGTTATCTCACAACACGCACCATTTCAAAATATAAGTAGATTGGTGAATTCTTGGTCGATCTAAAACACTGAGGTGATATACCTTCTATTTTAATCCCCATAGCTACTTACAAGCAGTGTTGCCAAAACTTTGTTGAGAAAAAATGCTAGCCTTATTTTTTAAGTTTTGGACGCATTCTCTGGGTTAAAAAATTATGTTTGCCAAAATATTTCTTTTGGCAAAACCCCCCACATAAAGTGGAACGCGAGTTATTTTCGGAATTTTGAAGTGGCTATAAATTGGGTTTCATGATACCCGGTGGATAAATAACTTATTTCCAGAATGTTTCCAACATAGTTTCATGATTTTTACATCGCTGCCATACAATAGCCCCTCTTAATTTCCTAACCCAGGTTTACAACCTGAGTGGCTATGCCATATGTCATATTCACCATATGAAGAAAACGACCATTTGTTAGGAATTTTTGAATACACACCACACAATAAAGTTTGGTCCGACCGAGCTTTATAAGTTGTTTACAGATGCTATGACACATTTTTACAACTGGCAATAATACTTTTCGCATAAAACATAGGGAAAATGCTATTCGTCACAGTGAAATCGAACTAAAATAAAAATGCTAAAAAAAGTGCTACGTGCTAGGTCACTTTTTAAAGAGCTAAATCTAGCACTAAAAGTGCTAAATTGGCAACACTGCTTACAAGTTAAAATTTGATTCATATTGTGGCTTGTTATGCCAAAGTCATATAAAATGTGTGACTGTGTGTGTAATGTTTTGAAGAATATAGAAAAATATATTCTAAAATCCCTTTGTTTAAAGATGAATTTTACAACATTGGTAAGAAGAAATTTATGATTTGTGGATGAAACAATATCAACTTGATTTTGTAAAGAAAACCTGACATTCCACTAATTTTTCGTGTTTTTGAAAAATTTTACAAATATGTAAAATCAAAAGAATGACTTGTTGTATTTGTTATTATTTATTCTGACATTATAGCCCACAAGGCATACAACACTTTACTTTCCCAGTGGATAAAAAATTATTTTGCAAGTAGTAACACCTTTGCCTCTTGTATGACCTCTTTCAGCAGGATGTAAAAAAAGTCACACGACAAACTGTCACCATGTCTGAATCCTCGTTCGGTATTGAAGAGCTCCTTTCCGACTTTAACTGCTGATCTTGTACCAGTTAAAGTTATCCTGCATATCCGTACTAATTTTACAGGAATGTCAAACGCAGACATGGCTTTAAACACATCTGAACGGATGGGGCTGCCGAATGCGGCTTTATAGTCGAAGGATAGGTGGAATGTGTCGATGTGTTTTTCGTGGGTCTTTTCCAGGAGAGCAGAGTGAAAATCTGGTCAATGGTGCATTTGCCAAAAATTGTTCAGTCCTGGAGTATATATCATATGTCTTTTTTTTAATAATTTCAAAGACACAACTTCAAAAAATCGAATATTTTCCCAGAATATTTTGTAGTCCCTGGACACCATAAATATTAAATTTACTAAATCATTAAAATTGAGAAAATTGAGGCGTATCGTTATAACATTGCCAATAATTTGTATATTCCCTTCACTGTAAGGTGGAGTTTATATTAAAGTTGTCATGCCGTGATATCATACAATGATATATCGGTCTACGTTTTTGTATAGGTCCGTACAAGGGTATTTTATATTTAGGGATTTTGGCACGGTTTTCCAACGATTTGGCTGTAATTTGGTATTTTGTGTTTTCATTGGGTAACACATCCTCATACCAAAAACCAGGCCGACTATATGATACCCTTCACCACTTTGGGTATATTCTACATATGTATCCTAACAGACATCGCTTTTTGAAAGGAACATTGATATGAAATTTAACTCATATGATCTCAAATATGTGATCTTAATCTATAAGTGACCGACTAACATCAGTAAATACACATCCCCTTCTACAACCTATGATAAACTCAATTTCATTCGGGCAGATTTAGAGTCGTATGCGTACAATGGGACACATTTATATACACTGATTTATAGCAAACATAATAAACGCTATTCGGTATGACCCTCTGTTGTTATTCTTAATCAGACCGGTTCGAAATACATATGGAAGCTATATGTGCATCTGCACCAATTTCAACAAAACGCAATAACGTCATTCTAGTCTCAATTTGATACATTGCACTATGGGCCAGAGATCCCATTTTTTTACCATAATTAGATCAGTGGGCTTATGAGAAATAAATAAAAAATCCGGTTTCAGCACATTGTACAAAATTGTGTGACAATCGCACCAACTTTGGGTCGCACAATGCACAGTTTACATAAAATCGGACTCAATTCAGTACTCTATGCCAAATTTCGTGGAAATCAAAATATATACGGGCTTTGGTGCACCATTTACATTAAATCGGAAAAAATATATATGGGAGCTTTTTCTAAACCTGAACCGATTTTGACAAAACTTAACACACATTATTCCAGACTTCATTAAGTATGCTATGACAAAGATCGTGCAATCGTGTAGGATATATAGGAACTTTAGTGCACCATTTACATGACGAAAATATATATGGGAGCTATATCTAAATCTGAACTGATATTCACGAAGCTAAACACAAATCACTGTAGAATTTATTCAGTACGCTGTGTGAAAACTCGTGCAAATTGAGAGCTATATCATGGGAGCTTAGAACCGATTTTCCCAATTTCAATAGGGTCCTTTCTTGGGCCAAATAAATGAGCTGTGCCAAATTTCATCCAATTTGGATCATAAATGCATCCTGTACTTTGTTTACAATTTAACATTAACAGACGGACGGTCGGACATGGATAAATCGACTCAGAAAGTGACTCTATGCATATTCTCAAAAGGAACCATGGATCTATCTCGTTTCCTCTTGCCTATTACAAACATATGCACAAAGACATAATGCCCTGTACCACAGTGTTATGAAGGGTATACAAATTATCAATACTGCCCCATCCTTTAAAATAGCCCCCATATAACGTTACCTCCAAAAAATCCGATATTTTTAAGAGTTTGGGTAGGTTATTGAATTCAAATTGGGTAACAAATCTTCTTACCAAAAATTTTAATATTGGCCCACTTTTCACGATAGCCTAATAAAACCATAACCAAATATATATTCGAAAGTATTCCTACTTTATTATACCTATGTATCGTTATCAATTGGCATGCACTTTTTCTCAGGTTTTATTTAAAATATAGAATACAAAACAATAAATTAATCTAATTTTCACTCTCTATTTAATATCTTTGCATGTCACCCTCAAACACAGTCTATCGTTGGTCAGGTCAGTCAGTCATCGTTCATTTAATAACAATAACAATTTTAATAGAACCAAATAAACAAACAAATCCAAAGCTTTTGGATTAGCAAGCGTAGAAAGAAACAACAACAACTACTGCAACAAAAGAGAAACATTCCAAAGAGGAGATCCATTCCCTATAAGAGCTGAGCAGAGGAACTACGTCAACAACAAATACCGGAGAGAAGGAGAACAAGAAATTACATTTGTGGCTATATTTTACGCGACAATATATCACCGACATCATAAACACCATTCAACGTTGATTCAGTTTACAAAATGCCATTAATCAGCTTAGCTCGTTCGCGTGCGACATCGTCGTCATCATCGCCAACACCATCGACGACAACAAAATTCCTCACCACCAACACCATTGCCTTGGTGCTGCTGTTGACATCATTCGCCCTGCTTGGCTGGCAACCAGCAGCAGCTCAGGGCAATCAAACGCCACAACAAGTTTGTCCCGAGCATAGTGAAATTGCTCCCTGTGTCTGTAGCGTTAAGAAGAATGGCCTGGATATTCTGTGCGAAACGACCGATTTGTCGCACATCACCAAATCGATGAGCACGTTGAAGGGTAAAAGCCCCATCATTTTCTATTTGAAATTGCGCCACAACAATTTGCCAAAACTTCAGGGTTTCCTATTTTTGGCATTGGATATTCGTCATTTGACAATTCACAACAGCAGTTTGGCAGCCATCGAGGAGAATTCTCTCAGCTCTTTGGGTGAGTATTGAAAAACGAAGAAAAAAAGAAATATTACAATAAGTAGTTTTGAAGCGGGAAGTCCATAGCATTTTTATATAGGGAGTCATTAAAGACAAGCTGAAGGGTAGGGAGTCTCTATAGACGAACTGAAGGGAGTATTTATAGACGAGCTAAATGCATTTTTAAAGGTAAGCTCAAGGGAGTCTTCATAAGTAAACTGAAACTCAAGAGGCCTTTAAAGAAGAGCTGGAGCTCAGGGAGTCTTTATAGACGAGCTGAAGCTCAGGGAGTCTTTATAGGCTAGCTGAAGCTCAGGGAGTCTTTATAGGCTAGCTGAAACTCAGGAAGTCTTTATAGGCTAGCTGAAACTCAGGAAGTCTTTATAGATAAGCAGAAGCTCAGGGAGTCTGTATAGACGAGGTGAAGCTTAGGAAGTCTCTATAGACGAGCTGAAGCTTAGGGAGTCTCTATAGACTAGCTGAAGCTCACGGAGTCTTTATAGACGAGCTGAAGCTCAGGGAGTCTTTACAGGCTAGCTGAAGCTCAGGAAGTCTTTATAGATGAGCTGAAGCTCAGGGAGTCTCCATAGACGAGGTGAAGCTTAGGAAGTCTCTATAGACGAGCTGAAGCTTAGGGAGTCTCTATAGACGAGCTGAAGCTCACGGATTCTTCATAGACGAGCTGCAGCTCCGGGAGTCTTTGTAGACAAGTTGAGGGAGTCTTTATAGGCTCAGGTAAGCTCAGCGAGTGTTTATAGACTTACTGAAGGATTCTTAATAGACGCTCAAGGAGTCTTTATAGACGAGCTGGAGCTCAGAGAGTCTTTATTAACGAGCTGGAGCCCAGAGAGTCTTTATAGACGAGCTGAACATCAGGGAGTCTTTGTAGGCGAACTGTAGCTCAGGGAGTATTTATAAAGTAGCCTTCTTTATATACGAGCTGAAGCTTATGGAATCTCTATAGGCGAGCTGAATATCAGGGAGTCTTTATAGACTAGTTAAAGCTCAGGGAGTCTTTATAGCTCAGGGATTCTTCTTAGACGAGCTGCAGCTCCGAGAGTCTATATAGACGAGTTGAGGGAGTCTTTATAGGCGCAGGTAGTTCAGCGAGTCTTTATAGACTTACTGAAGCTCAGGGAGTCCTTATAGACGAGCTGAAGCTCAGGGATTCTTAATAGACGATTTGAAGCTCAGGGAGTCTGAGAGCTGGAACTCAGAGAGGCTTTATAGACGAGCTGGAGCTCAGGAAGTCTTATAAAGGAGCTGATGAGCATTTTTATAGACGAGCGAAATAGAGTATTTACGGCGAATTACTGTCATTGTTGAGGAGCGGAAAGCCCGTGATTCATTCGCGATGTGCTGTGGGCCCAAATATATTTTTCGACGAACTAGAAGCCTGGGTTTGGTTTGACTTCAATATCATGTTTTTTTCTTTATTTTTCATTTCAGGTAAGGGTCTCACTCAATTGGATGTTTCTCTTAATCAAATGAAAACCGTGCCCTCGACGGCCTTAAAACATCTCTATCATCTGTTGATTTTAAATCTGAATCATAATAAAATTACCGTGATCCATAATAATGCCTTTGAGGGTCTGGATACTTTGGAAATTCTTACACTTTACGAGAATAAAATCAACAATGTCGAACCGGAAGCCTTCCGGGGTTTAGAAAAGTGAGTAGACCCACATTTGATATTAAAAATAAAATCAAATATTTTCTCTATATTCCAGGAAACTCAAACGTTTGAATTTGGGTGGCAATGAATTGACCATGGTACCACAACAGGCCCTCTCAATTTTGGACAACTTAAAGAAATTGGAAATTCAAGAAAATAAAATTAAAATTATTCGTGAAGGTGATTTTGCAGGTAAGTTTTTAGATCTACCCCTTTCCTATGCAAGATTCATATCTTTCCTCTCCATTTGCAGGTCTTGAAAATTTGGATTCCTTGATATTGGCTCACAACATGATAACCTCGGTCCCGGCAAATGTATTCTCACATCTCAGTCTATTGAATTCTCTGGAATTGGAGGGCAATAAAATTTCCACAATTGACAAGGATGCCTTTAAGGGATTGGAAGGTTTTTATGATCTAAATTAGTGGACTCATGTTTTGAAGAAACTGTCTTCTTAAATTCTATTTTATTTATTTCAGAAAATCTGCAATATCTCCGTTTGGGTGATAACAATTTACAAGCCATACCCAGTGAGGCATTGAGACCATTACATCGTCTGCGCCATTTGGATTTGAGAAATAATAATATTAGCGTTATTAGCGATGATGCCTTCACTGGTTATGGCGATTCCCTGACCTTTTTAAATCTGCAGAAGAATGAGTAAGTTGAACATGAAATGAACGTAAGATCAAGTTTTTTGTTGAATGCTACTTTGATACTGTTGGAGCACTAGAGATAGTTTCGAACATACAATTAAGTAGTTACTTGAACGGAAAAAAATGCAGAATCCCGACAATCCTGAGAATGCTTTCTTATCCTGTAAAGTTTTTCATTATGTGACATGAGGTCTAGACATTTTTCAATAAATGCCTTGAGTATTTATATAAAGAGTATTTATAGACTATCTGAAGGGAGTCTTCATAGATGAGCTGCAGAGAGTCTTAATAGACATGCTCAAGGGAGTCTTTATAGATGATCTGAAGGGATCCTTTATGGGCGAAGTGCAGGGAGTCTGCGTACACGGGATGAAGCTAGATTTTTTATTCAGTTTGTCTATAAAGAATCTCTTCCTCTCGCCAATAAATACTTCATACACTTCGCATATAAAATCTCGCTTCGCCCGTGAACGCCCGTATGGTCTCTAGACGAACAGAAGAGATTCGAATAGACGAGTTGAGGAGAATTTTCATAGACGAACTAATGTGAGTCTTTGTAGATATTCGGAAGAGAGTCCTTATAGGCTTCTATAAAAACTAAAACTATAATGTTCTAGACGAACTGGAAGGCAGACATAGATGAAAATGTGATTATTTCGAAAAAAAAATTAATGCGTTATCCTGCGATTTTTTTTTTTTGTGTGCAAATTTTATATAGGACAAAAATGGACCTGGGTTCCTTGAACATTTTTTTATTAACAAAAAGACCTCGGTTAGTGTGAAATTTTTTCTTTTACAGTAAAATTGGATCGATGGATCGGAGAAATTTTTCCTAAGAAAACCTCTAATTTTTTTCCATAAAAATGGGGGTGTGTTGAAAAATTTTTCTTTAAAAAAATTTGACTTGGGGTCTTAAAATTTGTACTTTTTTCTGTACCAAAATTGGACCACGAGTCCCGCAAATTTTTATATATAGCAAAATATTTGACCTTGGGTTCTATTATTTCTCTAGCTAAAATTTGAACATGAAGTCCTGCATATTTTTTTCTAAAGCAAAAAGTTAGACATGGTAACCTACGATTTTTTTCTATAGCCAAAATTAGGTCTGGGGTCCTGCGATTTTTTTCTATACCAAAAATGGTCTGGGGTACTGCGAATTTTTTTCTATAGCAAAATATTGCGATCTTTATAGGTAAAAAATAGTGTAGCTCTAAAGCGAATGAAAAAAATAGAGCTGTGGGAATTTTTCTCTATAGAAAAATATGACACCTGTGGTTCTGTGAAAAAAAGACACCTGTGGTTCTGTGAATTTTTTTCTATAGAAAAATATGGAACCAGGGGTTCTGTGAGTTTCTTCTATAGAAAAAATGAGACCTTAGGTTCTATAGAAAAACCCAAACCTGAGGTCCTATAGAAAAAAGGAGACCTAAGTCCTGCGACTTTTTTCTGTAGAAAAAAATAAGACCTGAGTTCCTACGATTTGTTCTCTACAGAAAAAAATTCGCAAGAACACAGGTCTCATTTTTTCTATAGAAAAACATTCGCAGGATCTCAGGTCTCATTTTTTCTCTAAAGAAAAAAATTCGCAGGATCTCAGGTCTCATTTTTTTCTCTATAGAAAAAATTCGCAGACCTGTGTCCCAGCGAAATTTTTGCTATAGAAAAAAAGACACCTGTGGTGAGGCCTAAGTCCTGCGAATTTGTTTTCTGTAGAAAAAAATGAGGCCTGTGTTCCTGTGATTTGTTTCTATAGAAAAACTGATACCCATTTACCTTTGATTTTTTTCTATCGAAAATATTAAACTTGTTCGCTAAAGATAACAATGTGCAGGACCTCTGCTTCAATTTTTTTTTTCTATAACAAAAATTTGGACACGACGTTCAGTGATTTTTTTCCATAATAAACAATTGGACGATAGGACCAGCATTTTTTCTATAGCAAAACATTGAACCAGATGTCATACAAATTGTTATCTACAGCGTTGGATAATAATTGGTATGACATCTGGTCTGAGACCTTTGGTCGTGCGAATATGTATATATAGCGAAAATTGTTCAATAAAAAATAATACCTCTGTTTTTTTCTGTAGAAGAAATGAGACCTGTGGTTCTGAGAATTTTTTTCTATAGATAAAAAAGGGACCTGTGGTCCTTTGATTTTGTTTCTATGGAAAAAATGTGGCCTGTGGTCCTGTGATTTTTTTTTTTTTTTAAAGAAATGGCACCAATGTCCTTGTGATGTTTTAGAAAAAAATTAGACCTATACATTAGTGAAAATACTTTGAGGCTGAGAAAGAAAATCTAACCTCACAAATATTTTTATAATTTGAAATAATAATTACTTCCTTCTTTTTCAAGGAATATTTGTGTCTTATCCTTAAAAATCCTACAAGAATATATGTTCTTTTCCCATTTAACAATTATTTCTTTTAGTATCAAGGTATTACCTAGCATGATATTTGAAAATTTAAATTCCCTGGAAACATTAAATATTCAAAATAATAAATTAACCCGTTTGCCACAAGACATCATGGAGCACATTATCGATACCCTGAGAATAATTGATATAACAGGCAAGTTTTCTAAACGACAACCTCCCCCCAAAAAAAATATCCTTAATGACACGCACCCTACTTTCAGATAATCCTTTGGTGTGCTCCTGTGAGCTAACCTGGTTCCCCAAACTTCTGCAAGATCTCAAGAACAAGGACGATGAAATGGCTCAGAAAAAGAAACCCATCTGTCATATGCCCGTGGAGAATCGGGACTATTTCGTACAGTCGATGCCATTGGAGAAAATGCACTGTGCCGGTCTGTCGTCCAGTGAAGCAAGTGATTTACTGGACACAAATGGTGTGTTGTTATGGCGTTTACTGCCAGTAAATATGCTTGTGACGTTTTTGTGTACTTTTTAAAGGAATCATGTGGTGGAAGTGGTAAACGATACGACAAAATTTAACGACTATCGCGATACTGAACATTTTTTGTACGACTACTACTCTACGACTCTATTCTCTACATATGTGTGTGAGACACCAAAACAAAACGAAACATGAAATATTGCAAAATTGCTAAAAAAAAAAGATTTGCAAAAATATGAAAACAAAAATATTAGGCATCACAAGAACAACAACAACAACAGCATCAAACAGACAAGTGTTATACGCAAAGAAACGTATAGGAAGAAACAATTACATATCAGTAACAAAAATTACAGACTAGAAAATTCTACAACAACAACAACATCCAGAAAAAAAAACAAATTAATATAAGTACGCGCATTGCTATTTCTTTTTTTGGGGTTTTTTTATATGGAAAAAAGAAATAAGCATTAAATTAGAAAAAAAAGGGCTATAAGATATACATATAACCCTTTTATATATTTATATTAGTATATGTATGTAAGACAACTGTTGAAGACAAACACACACACACTAACATTTTACTATTTATATATATGTGTAATTAATTGTAAGGATTTTTGAATTATTTTTTGTATTTCCAATGTATTTTTTTATTTATTATAATACATCTAAATGTATTTATCAATCAAGTAACTTCTAGGGATAAATGGTTGCAAACATTTTTTGAAAACAAAAACAAAACGTGGAAATCTATAAAAAAAATCTACACTATATCGAAAACATATCACTAGAGTTTAGGGCCATTTTAGGTCAATACAAAAGAAAGGAGTTAACTGGGAAAATGGACTTTTTTGTAGCATACTTTTAGGCAAACGAAAAATATTATTTAATATATTTTTTAAACTAAATTTAATTTATAATAAATTTAAATCTATTCGAATATCTCCTACAATATTTATTGGAAAAAATGTTTCTATAATTTAAAGGTTAATTTTTTTATTTAATTATTTTATTTTTAAATAATGATGATCAAATGATTTATTATATAGGAATAACTGTGGATAAAAATAATTTTGTTTGGTTCAAAGAAATATCATAAATATACAATATGTTTCTATCAAAAAATGTAGACTAAACGCTATCTACAAAAAAAGTCCATTTAGCCATTTATAAGAACAAAACTATTTTTTCTGAGCTTCTTACCACATAAAAGATATATCAAATGTTAAACAAGACACCCATTCTACGCAAAATACTATTTCTACAAAAAGAAAAAAAACAATTATAACCACCTGCTTCTGAACCAATGTTGTGTTAAAATAATATTAACTAATTTTATTTTTTGAAATCTTTTTAACAAGGATATTGAAGCAAAATATCATACCAAAGAGGGTTTCCAAGGATGTAAACGAATATCAGATCATTAAACATCCGTGAAATTAAATAGTCATTATTTTTATATTGTTGTTGAATTTTCCATCAAAATGTGGATTTGCAGGATATAAAATTCGTTTGGGTATAAAATTCGTTATATTTCGAAAGATTAAATCTTAAACCTTATATAGAGATCCAGAAACAAAAAAATTATATTAAATTTTATTGATACAAATTCCTTGAATATGAGTTTAAAAAAGAAATCAAATGTAGCCATAGGCTTAGATCTTTTAAAACTCGTTTTTTTTAATTGTTACAATAGGTCGGCATTTTTCCAATATATTTTGTCCAAGTCTTGGCACGGATATTATTTAGACTTGACAAATATTTTTTCAAGAATTAAAAAGTATTTTATTTACATCTGCGCCTTTGTTTAAACATGCAAAAAAAATTGGAAAAATCAGCGACTATCGAAGACGCAAAAAACCATTATAAAAAATCCACGCCTAACATTAGGCCTAAAAAATGTTTTTAAACAATCCATGCCTAAAATTAGGCTTGAAAAAATCATTAAAAGCAATGATGCATTACATGCCGTTAGTTCCCCAGGGCAAAAAATTAAAAGAGGCTTTGTCACCAACGAAACATACTTTGAAAGAGCTCTGGGATGACTGCAGGCTTATCTCTTAGCCGTTTATGGTATTGGTCATAAACGGCTAAGCCTGCATGCCTGCATGTTTTTATAAGCCTAGCAGGTCAGACTCATTCATAGCGGAAGAACACCCTAATATATGGTTTAAATATACAGGATTTATAAATTATTTGTCTTCTTCATAAAAAAATTTTGTCCAAGTCAAGATGCAGATATGATTTAGGCTTCAAAAAAATTGTTTTCAAGTCTAAAAAATATATTTTTAATATCTGCGCTTTTGTTTAAACATGAAAAAAATATTTGTAAAAATCTAAGGCTATCGAAGACATGCATATTTTTAAATTATATTCTTAAAGTAGGCCTGAAAAAATATTTATAATAAATCCATTGATAAAATTTTTTTGAAAAAAATCCAACCTGTAACGAGGTGCGTTGTTTTCTCCCTTGAAATTCTTTAGTGGGCGCCAATTGCAGATAGTTTTGGCCTTCCGGATTTAAAGCATTGGCATACCATTAACTGCATTAGCGTCAGCAATACCTTCAACAACCTGGTATGTCGTTATAGCCGATATAAATTCTTCACTTTCACTGAACATCGTTCGCCATTGTATCGTGCTGAACAGCCGCTGAATGAACCACACTTTTCACTGGATTTACTTACAGCACTCAAAAGACTTTCAAATTGTTCAGTGGTAAGCGAAACCATGTTTGTACTTCTTTGTAACCGGTCGCTTTTGCGTAACCCTTCTGCAATAACCTCTTTATTCATAGAGTTCGATGATTGAGACAGGATGTTCCTTATCTTGTTAATCAGAATGAACAAAAATCGAGATTTATATAATTATAATTCTTGTCCACGGCTTTTCTTGGCGCTGATCCGACCTCACACGTTGGGCGTCAATTTGTAACGAGGTCCGTTGTTTTCTCCCATGAAATTCTTTAGTGGGCGCCAATTGCACATAGTTTTGGCCTTCCGGATTTAAACGCGAAATGGTTTGCAAAAGAACGATTCTTTATTTAACAAAACAAAGTAATAACGTAGACGGGAACAATCTATGAAAACCGAATGAATAGAATATATGTAATGATATTAGGATAAAAGGCAACGGCGACCATCGTCACCACGTGTACACATTTATATTCATATCAAAACATTTTCCAATAATCGAAAGAGGGAAACAATAGGAAATGGCTGCGAATGGCTACCACGTGTTCCAATTGCTCCACTATTCAAATTATTGAACTATCCTATCCAACCTATGAAAACAGAATGAATATTGTTCGTTATGGAAGCTCCTTATATAGGACTTTTCAAAAACAAATGTGACAAAATTTACAACAACAATATTTTACAAAGGTTCTGTTTCCAATAAATTACAAAATTATTTAAAGTAGTTTTGAGCAAAGTAAAAAGTAATAAAATATTTGTGATATTGTAAAAAACGCTACTGCTACAAACGCCAATATTAGGCTGAAAAATATTTTCCAGCCTAATATAAGGCCTGAAAAAACTATTCTTTAAAAATCCACGCCTAATATTAGACCTGAAAGAAATATTTTTAAAATTCACGGCTAAAATTAGATATTTGAAAATTTCTTGTAAAAATCTGGGCTTCAAATTACGCTTAGATTAGATTTGAATAAAATATTTGTAAAAACCCAAACCTAAATTTAGGCCTTTGATATAAAATTAGGCATGAAAAAATATTTTTAAAAAGTCCACCCCTAAAATTAGACTTTTTTAAAATTAGTCTTCTAAAAATATATTCAAAAACCAGAGCTAAAAGTAGACATTTGAAAAATTTAAAAATCTAGGCCCAATTTAGACTTTTGAGATATATTAAAAAATCCCTCATTAAAATTAGATTTTGATAAAATATTTGTAAAAATCCAAGCCTAAAAATAGGCTTGGAAAAATAAGTTTAAAAAATCCATGCCTATATTTAGGTTTTAATTTTTTTTTTCTTTAATCCAAGCCTAAAATTAAGCTTGGATTGGAAAAATATGTTTTAAAAATATACACGCCTTAATCGATGTTTGAAAAAATATTTTAAAAAAATACCAGCCTAAAATTAGGCTTGAAAAATATTGTTATAGCAAAATAGTCAGGCGTCATCCCAGTTTGTTGTTTTTATAAAAACAACTATTTATTAGTGGGGAAAGTATGACATTTTTTAAAAAAATCCACGACTAAACTTAGATTTTTTATCCTATTTCCAATCGAGTTTTTTTACATTAGGAATGGAAATATAGTGTTAAAAACTACAACACCCGTGTGATCCTGGTATGATCAGAAATGTATCAATGCTAGTTTTGTTGTATAAGGCGAATAATGGAAGTCGTTCTACTCGATGCTGCTCTATTGTGCTCTAATGGTTCCTCAGCCTTAACAACCGGGTGTTCAAAAATTCCCTCGCGAATGAATCAAAATACATTCTTTTCGTTTTGTGCTCATTTTAAGAATGAATCTATGGCAGGCATGCTTACCCATATACGCTACCGTAACTGAGGGTCGATGGGTAAACACATTTTCTCTTTCTTTCTCTTTACGTCAGTCGTTTGTAATAGTGAATTCTCAGTTACGCTCGCACACACTTGCTCTCTATTTAATTTTGCCCAACACTGATTTATGGCGATAAATTCTTTACCAAACGAGCATTCGCCAAAGAATGTTCGCACACACATAACAAAGGAGTGAGAGCACACAACAACTTTCGTTCGTTTCGCTTGGTGGTTGAAATTCTTTCTGACATTCTCTCACGAATGAAAACAACCATTCCCGAATTCTCGCAAATGCTCAAAACGGCAACAACAATAACAACAAACGTACGTGAACTCAATAGTTGTTGGAAATGTGTTTTGTTATTCCACACATACACATTATTTCGTTGTTTGTGTGTTTGCTTTTTAAAAGAATGTTCTTCAGCAACAAATGCTCGCGAAATAATGAATCGACGACGCTTGCAGCGAAATTTTATCGTTCGTAAATTTATCGTACAATGCGAACATTCGCGAGAGAATGCAAATGCTCGTCCATTCATTGTAACTGTAT